GGGACATCTGTCCCCAGGGGTCAGATGTGTGTGTGGCTTTGGAGAAGCCACCAGCTGGACACCAGCACTGGGATTTTAGGGATAAGGAGCTCGAGGTTGGTCCTGGAAGTGGAGCTCAGGAAACTGGGGAATCCTAATTTCCAGTGCAGCTTTGGTTTAGATCTCACTGGTTTGGAACCCAGGGACACCTGGAGGAGACATCTGTCCCCAAGGGGTCAGGGACGTGTGGATTTGGAGAGTGGACATTGAGGGTTTGGGGATGAGGAGCTGCAGTTTGGTCCTGGAAAGGGAGCTCAAGAAACTGGGGAACCTTGGTTTCAGTGCAACTTTGGCTTAGATCTAGCTGGACACCTGGAGGGGACATCTGGAGGGGACATTTGTCCCCAGAGGTGAGGGATAAGTGGCTTTGGAGAGTGGACATTGGGATTTTGGGGATAAGGGGCTGCAGTTTGGTCCTGGAAAGGGAGCTTTGGCTTAGATCTCACTGGGACACCTGGAGGGGACACCTGGGGAGGACATCTGTCCCCAAGGGCTCAGGGACATGTGGCTTTGGAGAGTGGACACTGGGATTTTGGGGATCAGGAGCTGCTGTTTGGTCCTGGAAGTGGAGCTCAGGAAACTGGGGAATCTTAATTTCCAGTGCAGCTTTGTCTTAGATCTCACTGGTTTGGAACCCAGGCACACCTGGAGGAGACATCTGTCCCCAAGGGGTCAGGGACGTGTGGATTTGGAGAGTGGACACTGGGATTTTGGGGATGAGGAGCTCTGCAGTTTGATCCTTGAAGTGGAGCTCAGGGAACTGGGGAATCTTAATTTCCAGTGCAGCTTTGGCTTAGATCTCACTGGCTTGGAACCCAGGGACACCTGGAGGGGACACCTGTCCCCAAGGTGTCAGGGACATGTGGCTTTGGAGAGTGGACACCAGCACTGGGAGTTTGGAGATCAGGAGCTGCAGTTTGGTCCTGGAAATGGAGCTCAGGGAACAGGGGAATTTTGGTTTCCAGTGCAGCTTTGTCTTAGATCTCACTGGTTTGGAACCCAGGGAAACCTGGAGGGGACACCTGTCCCCAAGGGGTCAGGGACGTGTGGATTTGGAGAGTGGACACTGAGGGTTTGGGGATGAGGAGCTCCAGTTTGGTCCTTGAAGTGGAGCTCAGGGAACTGGAGAATCTGAATTTCCAGTACACTTTGGTTTAGATCTCACTGGTTTGGAATCCAGGGACACCTGGAGGGGACACCCAGGGACACTTGTCCCCAGGGCTCAGGGACATGTGGCTTTGGAGAGTGAACACCAGCACTGGAATTTTGGGGATGGGGAGCTGCAATTTGGTCCTGGAAGTGGAGCTCAGGAAACTGGGGAATCTTAATTTCCAGTGCAGATTTGTCTTAGATCTCACTGGTTTGGAACCCAGTGACACCTGGAGGGGACACCCAGGGACACCTGTCCCCCAGGGCTCAGGGACGTGTGGCTTTGGAGAGTGGACACTGGGATTTTGGGGATGAGGAGCTGCAGTTTGATCCTTGAAGTGGAGCTCAGGGAACTGGGGAATATTAATTTC